ATATATATCTGATAGTCCTTCTTCTTGTCCTGCAGTGCAGACCCCACTGTGTCAACAACGGTGGTCCTGCTGCTGCTGATATTAGAAGCAATCTATATAACACAAGACTGCAGCGCCCCCAAGAGGACAGTACCAAAGAGTTCATGGATGAGAACTATAAGCTTCTGTTTTAAAGCTAAAATACAGCAATAATGAAATTATAACTCAAAGAACATTCAAATTAACAGAAATTACAACTAAGGTAACAATAAAGCTATGCTGGTGTAAACTCAGTTATTCTGGACATAGTAATAAAAACAAATCATAACAAAAACAACTAAACTTCTGTTCTGTAGTTGAAGCTGTTTCACTTCCTGTTCATGTAGCTTTCTTAATTCAAAACTGGAGAAAGTAGAGTTCCAAGCTTTGAAACTGTATGAGAAATTAAGTTATGTAACATAGATTCAGATGCAGATTAAACTGTCTGGCTCACAGGAGAGATGTGTTGGTCACATGCATGAAGATGTGAATTAGAACAAAACAATATAAATGTTTATAATGGACCTCTATTGAAGAAACTATTGTAGACATATTCTCCACAGATGCATGGTTAAAGACAGGAGAGCAGTGCTTTAGGACCAGACCCAGATGTCCTACACCTCAAGGGTAAAGGATCACTCTGCTGCAGACCACCATGTTCATATTATGGGCAGAGAAAACAGATGGTTTCAAAGGGGGTTACAGTAAGCCATAAAGAAAACCTAGGACAAGGAGACTCTGGAGGCACTGAAATCTTAAAGACTTGAGAACTAAGAAACCTCCTGATGCCTCCTGAGAGGCAAACTGAGTGATATTTCCAGGAATGGAGGGAACTCCCAGGTGGGTCAGAAGTGGTGTCTGGAAAACTGAAATTGCACAGCAGCAACACCACAACCACTCAAAGAAACCAAGAAGCTCACAAAAGCAATCCAGAGACAGTGTTATACAGGTGTTAATTTTTCATTGTCTTTTTGTCATTTACTGTGCTCATATACATTCATAGCTATTTCAAGTAGTGTTATAAAACACAGGAACATACTGTATGAAAGATGAAAAACTGAAAAAATGTGCCACATGATATGCCATGCACTGCCTCGGTTTAGAGATGGGAACAACAGCAGTTCATTTCAGTGTACTGGTTCATCATCAGTAGACTAAAAACGATTGTCGTTTTATTTCCATGTGTTGTTTTTAAGTTTTTCTGTTCTGCATGCATAATCAATCTGCACAAGGATCCTCTTCTTCCTGTCTATTGACCAATTGGAGAGGAGCTGACCCAAGAAGGGCCGCCCACCTTATTTGCATATTGAGGCAGAAATGCATGAGGGAAAGTGAAAACAGGAGACAGAAAAATAAAATAAAATAAACAAATAAATAAATTTAAATATAAATAAATAAATAAATATGCTAAATTGTATTGGTTTTGTTTTATTTCACAGGGATATTTATTTATTTAATGGAATAT